AAATGTTGGGAATCTTCTGTAGTCTGCAATAGGCAGGATCCAGGAGGTTTTGCAGTTGAAGGGGCTTTAGGTGTGGAAGTTGCTTGCACCCACAGCACTTCTAGGAACTGGCAGTGCGATCTGACCCTCTGCTTTTAGGAAGAGATTGAAAGCATCTGGCAGTGTGGGGTCCCTGTGACAAAGATGTCAGTGTTTGCACAGGAGCAAATGAGCATAGTTTTCCTTCTTTAAGATCCCGTGACACCACAGAGTGTGTTCATAAAGCAAGGCCAGATTTGTTGTTTTCTTTTTCAGTGCATAACATAAGACAACTAGGGTCTGCTTTAGCAGTGGTGCATTTCTGTAGTGGATAGTGAAGTCACACATGTAGAATATATATATTTTTTCCTTCTTATCTGCAGTGCAGATTGCTATTACACATTCTGCACTTGTTTCGCACACACGATTCCTGCACAAATCAATGGAAGTCCTGTGTGCGGAAAAAGGCACAGAAAGTGCAATGGAGATTTGCACCACGGATTAAGAGATTCTCAGTGTTGATCAAAGAGGAATTTTGTCCGAGGTTTGTAAAGCGCTTTTGAATCCTCCTTGATGAAAGACTCCATAAAAATGTAAAGCTGCTGTTGTTAATGTTCCCTTGGTACGTAACAGGAGAATAGATGCTGAAATTAAAGTCACATATATTAATATTGATTAAGAAATAAACAAATTCTTCCAGAATTTGATCTGCCTTTCATTACGTGCCCTTGATCTTCCATTTTCAAACAGGGCATGGTTATGTCTTGGAAAATCACAGCCTTGAACTCCACCAAACCACAACTACAGATTATATATCATTATATATAATTTTGGAAATCCGTCTGGGATACACCATAAAGCAATAATAAAAGAAAAACTGTGAGGACATTTGTATTTGTCAGCGTCTCCCTAGACAGAGCCCTGAGGATATGATATTCTTAGAATAAAGCTTTCATTTCACAGTGCATCAGTGGGAAAATTAACAAGCTCTCCTCATGCTGTTCCATAATTCATTTTCTTTGTTTTAGATATTGAGCCGAGCTGGTACAGTAACTTAAATAGATAGGGGAGATTTTAAGCACAGATTTGAATTCTGGCTGGTTTGGGTTGTTTAGCTTTGTTTTGCCTTTTTCCTTCCTTATCCTGCAGGTTCCTACTATCTAAATAAGAAGTTGCCTCAATTTATTTCAGTACTTGCCTTTTAAATGGAAAGTGCCAAATACTGTTGTAACAGTTTAAAATCTATCACAGCAGGCTCACTTCAGTTAGTTCCAGGGATGCACACTGCTTCTCCCACTGTACCAGCAGCAGCACTTGATCTGCAGGAGGAAAGAGCCTGCTTGTCCTTGTCCCCAGCCATGGCAATGGGAGGCCAAGACACCAGTGAGCTGGAGAAGACACTCATTGGGGTGGGAAGGCCACCACCCGCCCTCCATCTGAACCTCAGTGAACAACAGCAATTGCCTAAATTGACAGCAAGTTTTATTGCTCTTTTATGGAAATATGAAGTTACACTTTTGAATGAGATTACACAAATGCTTCTGAAGCAGAAGTAATGTTCCTCAGTTTATTTTCTCCCAATAAATTCTTTCTGCTCTTGGAAGTCCTGGGACTCCAGAAACAGAGATGGGAGGCCAGAGCAAAGCTAGCTTTTGTCACTGACAAAATTCATGATTGAACAACAACAACAAAACATCAAAACTTTGACAGGAAATAGTCATCTGTTTCCTCCAGTTCTGCTTGTTCAGGTGCTGGGCAAAAAACCCCTTGTTCATTTGTGAAAAGATAGCCTATGTCCTTCTCTTTTGACAAAACATTAAATTCTGGAGAAGAAATATTTCATGGCTGGTGCAAAGCAGCCTACCAGGGACTTGAACAGCTTTGGCTTTCTTCCACCTGACCCTTTCCTTTTGCTACAGGTATAGAGCATCAGACAAAGCAGAATCCCCAAAAGAGCTGTTCTGTCAATCTCAGCCATGGTTGCACCAGAAGGAAGATGCAGTTTGAGATGTTACCTGTCATAAATAATGAGAGTCCAGAACAGAAGAACCACTTTATCTCTTACAGTGATCTGGCAGTGAATGGGAAGTCCATTGGTATAGATGCCTTTGATACCCTTATGAAAAATACTGCTAGCAGCATGGAAGGCTGGGGCTGAATACATTGCAAATCTCCTTGATGTGAGGAAAAAATTGAGTTGCAATCAAAACAGTTGACAAAATTAAGTATATTTTTTGGGCAACTGCAGCCCAAAGGAAAGGCATCCATGCTCTCAACAGATAATCTCAAAGGCTTTCTTGCCAAATCCCCCTTTTTCATCTGTTAGCAGCCACTAGTACCTCCCAGTGTCATGATGCTGGGTTTAGAGAGGGGAATATGAAACTGGATGGAAGCAGTGTCACGGTGATGTGGGAAAATGCATTCAGTTGGCAGTTTTCAATAAGAAGTGATGCTATCTGGAACAGAGATATCTTTTTCTTTGTGCCCATCTAGACAGTGACAGGCATGCTGCGGTGTTCTTGCAACGCAAAGAATAGCGGGGGTAGGGTGTGCTGAAAGATGTGTTCTTTGCTGGAATAAGCTTCTTCCTTATCACAGCCAGTAATAGCACTGTATTATTTTGGTTTTTGAAAGAGATGAGCCTGTTTTTGCAAAAAGGCAGTTGCCCTCAGCTCCCATTGACTTCAAGCACAGCTTGCATTGCTCAGTGCCCTGCAGAAGTAAGGCGCTGTGGGAGTACTGCTAAGAGAGGCTGAGGTGTTCTGACAGCGTTAATCCTTATCGATGTAGGGGTGCTACACTGCTTATACAGGGAATCACTACTGTAGTGCCCCCGTCCATGGCGGAATCCAGTTCTTCCCCATAGCAGACATTCTTTACACTGGTATGGAGTACAGCTGGAGAGGATATCTTCTATAGGATGGTACCTATGCTTATATAACTCTGCATACTTTGAATACTTGCAGGAATGTCTTTGAACTCTATAAAATTACTGAAAACAATGGGTTCCAAAAGTAAAAGAAACAGCAAGAAAAAAATACCGTACTGCAATTTTCTAGTTCAATGAATCTGCTTTGTGCCACAGTCATAACTAGCCGTGAACCAGCCCCAGCACTTCCTTTGATGTATAAAATGCATTTTTAATTTCACTAGCGTGCTGCTCACTCTTGTTTGAAAAGGTATTTGAAAGGGTAACTGGGAATGGCTAGGTTGCCTTCTCTGCACTTTTCATTGTTTTACTACCTCTTTCCCGTCACCTCTTATTTTTCTCTTGTGTAAAATACAGCCTGAACCTTCTGAATCTCTCCTCACAGAGACCTTTCCATGTCTCAGAACATTACCATCACCTCCTAGACCTCTTTCTGGCTGCTGTTTCTTTTGTTTTTTTACAGAGTAGGGGTAAGCATAGCCAGAGCTGGACAAGGTTATCGAAGCTAGGCATGTCCCTGCATTTATAAATGCCATTATAGTGTTTGTGATGACAAAACATTTATTCCAACATCCACTATATAGACTTGCTACAAAGCCCCTTCCTGCCTGTACTGGGAGAACTGCTTGTAACCTTGTGGAAGCAGGGACTATTGGGGCTGCCAGCTGTTTCCAAGGAGGAGAGATGACAGCACCACAAGATATCCCTGAGCTGCTTGCTGGGATCTCCCATATTACTGAGTGGATCTTGCTTGGTGCTGGCTTCTCACTCAGGGCTTTGTGTTCCCTCCACCAGATGGATGTTGGCAGATGGCAAAACTATTTTGCCGTTCAATTATTTAAAATGAGGCATGCAAATCAACGTTTGGCATTCAATGACAGAGTGTCATCTTTGTGGTCCACGTTCCATTTTTGATGCACTGTCTCTTATTTCCTTCTTGATAAGGCTGTGTATATTATTGTGGTGTGCTGTATTTACATGTGCACACTGTTCTTTCTGTGGCTTTCCATGAAGGCCATTGCACACTCACTACTGTGCGCTGGGACTGCACTACGGACCGTGTCCTCCTATGAACCGAAGACAGCCTACAACTTACAAGCAATAGTCTACAACCATTCATCCCTTTGACTTCACTCACCAAGCAACAGAAATTCATGTTTTCAAGGAATGCAGAAATCAATTTTTGGTTGTAGAGCTTATTAAAAAAGAGCTGATGCTTGAAGCTGATGGAAGAGTTGGAAATAGAGCCAGCCTGTCACTGACTAAGGGCTGGAGGCTGCCCATCCATCAGCACTAGCTTCTAGCAGGAGAGGTTTGTCATCAAACCTGGAGACAACACACTTTCATTTGCCTGATGCACTGATCGAATTATTATTTTTACAAACCTTTAGGAAGAGATTCTCTCATTTTCATCTCATCACCAGCTGCTGCCTTGAGGACTTCACCAGTTAAGAAGTTGTTATAATGCATTTGTCTGCTTGGATGGAGATTTCGTGAGACTGTAGAATATAACACAACAGCAGGGCCCACTTGGGGTTGGAAGGGACCCCAAGGATTATCAAGTTCTAACCCTACTGCCACAGACAGGGCCACCAACCTCCAGGTTTGCTGTCCTGAGTCTCTTAGAGTGTTGAGGGGAGGGAAGAGAGTTTAGGGCAGGAGAAGCATTTTGGAATACCACATCCTACTAATTGCCAACTGTTCAGCAAGGAATGAGAAGTGAGAGGTTTATGTGCTACTGTGAGGGATTAGAGCAGAGAAAGGAACCATGCAAAACAGTTTATAATGATGAGCAAACCACAAGTTAAGCAGTAGAACTGCAAGTTAGCCTATAGATTAGTTTTAAAAGAAAGGCAGCAACAACAAACACATTAATACAGCTTAGTGAGATAATAGCTACCCCAAGCTGCACTGATTGGAAACAATTGGCAGAGCCTGGGATATAAGGAATCACTTCCTGCAGCAATTTCCTTTTATTAAAAAAGCATTTAAGGATTTATAAGCTTTTTGTTTCTCAAGGATCTTGTTTTTAACTCTGTGCTCTCCTGTTTAGCAGGACTGTTGCACGGCCAGGCCTGAAGCAATTCGATCAGAATACAGATGTTTGCCATTCCAGCATCACTGCAGGAGCTGTCACCCAGAAGGAAATGGAAAATGCAATAGGAGCAAATTCTGGACGGTAGAGCCAAGATCGTTATCCTAATGACTTCTTTATTTATTTATTTATGTGTTTCAAAACAAGAAAGTGTGTACAGCCATTTGGAAAATGACCTACCTACCTTTCCAACCTACACACAGCAAAAGCAATTCAAATGCTGAGGTGTGAGACCACGTCTACAATGCAGCTACACAGCACTCGTGCGTTTCCAACACAACTGGGGATTTAATGCCCTGAAGTTAATAGGTGCTGAGTGGTAGAAATCCAAGACATGGCTTAAATGAGAGTCATAACTGCCTTAAATGTAGGCCAGTTATCCCCTCCCTGTTGCTTGTAATTGCTAGTCGGCCTTTTTGTTGTTGTGGTTATGTAGTACACTGGTTCAACAGAGAGACTGGAGAAAAGACTTTGTTTCAGACATACCTGAAATTAATTTTCAGTTGTGTTTTGCTCTCTCGTGTGAGAAAAAGAAATAAAACCGATTTGGATTAAAATTTGCATCAAACATTTAGCTCAACTAAAGATAAAACGTTTTAATGGCAGCAGAAGCAGGCCACATTTATTTTGATTTAAGTAACCTTTGTAGCTCGAAACCAAAATAAATACATAAATAAATAAATAACTGGTTTGCCAATATGGAGGAAAAAACTGAAGTTCCTCTGGTTTTTCCTCTTTTACTCAGAGAGGGAGAAACTGAAACACTCTGACGTGCGACACAGTTGAACAAACAGATTCGGCCTTGAGTTTTTCTGTATTGGTTTGTTTTCCTAGAATAAAGAGAATCGGTTGCCCAGCTCTAACCTTGAGACCTGCAGCAGTTGTCTCCTTTACAGGTGTAACAAAGAAGGAAATGAGGAGCTTAATAACTCATTTATTTTAATGACAACTGCATGACCCTGTTTCCATCTCTGCAACTGTAGCTGGTCTGCTTTTCCAGTGTGTATGCCCAATTATAACTTGCAAGAAGGCATGTACCTCATAAAGAATTTAGTTCGTTTTCAATATTTTCCAAAGCTGTGTAAATGAACAATGCACTTTTTACAGGTCTTTCATCAAGGAGTTAATAACCAGATGAAGGTTCTCTTTTCATCAGTTCGTAAGTGATGCTCCATTTGATTGAAGAAGATCAAAAATGACGATCAGAAAATAACAAGGAAGTTTTAAAGGTGGCCTTTATACAACACTTCAACCGTCTCATTCCTGTTATTTCAGAGTTATCACTGGGTTTCTTTTCAGGTTTGGAAAAAAAATGTATGAAATTCTGAAGAATTGCCAGTACTTGCCTTTTTTTTAAATTTGAGAAACCTATTTGTTAATTGTGGTCAACATGCCTCTTCCAGACTGTGCCACAGTGTTATGTGAAAGCAACAGCAGCAAGGCTATTAGATTCTGACATGTATGACAGTATCCATGGCATTCATCTTGCATCCCAGCCTGTATCAGCATTCACGGCAGTTCCAAGTGACCCTGTTCTGCCCTGATTTGACATGACCTGCTCCCCATCCCTCAGTGGGCTCAGGTATCACAGGAGCTCTGCAGTCTGGGGAGAGGGAGAGAAGATAGCCCTTATTCAGGATCCTCTCTACCTATAACCACAGTGCCACTGTTCGCAGTGACCAGTGCATTTGTCATCCTCTTACATTTGGTTTTACAGGAAATTTCCATTTTCTTTAATTGTCTCTTGGAAGTCCTCTGTATAAATTTTCTATCCCAGCTCATTTAGTCTTTTCTATTTGACTTTATTGCTTCTGAGTAGGAGTAGGTAAATTCTCTGCAAAGAGGTGAGATGCTTCTTCCTTAAACCAGCTCAAACATGTAAGAGTCTTTCTTGTCCCTACTGTCCCTCCTCTCTCTCCTGCAATCCAGTCACCTCGTGTGCAGTTGTCTCTCTCTCTCCTCTCTCTCCATCTGACCTTTTCTGCTGACCCTTCCCTTACTGCAGCAGCAGCAACAACAAAAAACTCAACACACTTAATCTCATTGCCTTGTTGCCAAAAGAAGCCTTGTCTCTGCAGTTTCCGGCAGTAGTTAAATACTTGTTCCTTGGCAGCATTTTGCTTTGGGTTTGGTCATTAATGCACTAGTGCTAATAATGAGTGTTTGATACAAGCTGTCATCACTCGTGGTGATGCTAGACTAGGAGTTTTGTGACTAGCAAAGCTCCCCAAAAACCTTTTTCCTGACCTAATGAACCCTTCTGAGATCATCAGATGTAAGGCCAAATTCAACTCCCTGATACTGAAATGGGATTGGCTGTGAAGAAAAACTGTCCTAAGGGTAAGGTGGGGAGTGACTGCTTGCTAGGGAACTGCAGAACAGCTTGAAGGACTTGAGATTCTGCGTAGAACCTCTGGTTATTCACTAAGTGAAGTGCTGAGCAGGTTGCTCGGTGCTTTGTCTGGTTGGATTTTGTCCTTGGCTGTCTGCAAGGACACAGATGCCACCACCTTCCCAGTGTTGCTCTTTGTCCTTTCCTGGGACACCCTGACAAGGGTGGTTTCTTTTTCTGCAGAGCTGTGTCTGGTACTGGATCTGGAAATATGAACCTGTCTTCTCGATGTTCTTGACCTGGCCTGCAGCCTGCAGTTGGAATTCCCAAAGCCAGGCATGGCAGAGGATGTCACCATCTTCAGGTGAAGGTCTTTTGGAGGATTGGCCCTGCAGTGGAGAAAAGAACATGGTCAGCTTCAAGAAGCCTATGTTCTACCTCTGAAGCAGAACTATTAAGTGTGAGGCTAGCTTGAGATTTCAGCTACTAAGGAAGGAAACTGAAGAGGAAGGGAAGATGCAGTCAGCTCCTTGGCTGGAAACCAGCAGGGTTACATTAAGGCAATAAACTCAAACCCACACTTTTGTAAGGTCAGCAAGGAAATGGGGAGAAGCTGCAGCCACTCACGTCTCAGCTACTGAACAGAGACAGTTGTGGGGGTCTGAAATAGCATTGGCATAACAACAGAGCAATCAGAATAAGAACACCAGAGGGACACAGTGGTACCCTCTAGTAGTGACAATGTTACTCCCATCCCTTGCTGTTGTGTATTTCATCCAATTACCCCAACTATGTTTTCTTTAATATTATAAGGGCTGTAGCCCTGGCTCTCTGTTGCAAAGAGAGAAACTGAGGCACAATAAGGTAAAGATATCATCCTAAACTATTCCATCTTGCAATTTGAACTGTTCCCCTAAGAATGAGCTCACACACATTTATTTATGGTTTCAGTCTAGGAGTGATGTGGGTTTCTGGTACTTGATATTTCATAGCTTCTAATTACCCTGTATAGTGAAGCCTGCAGAGAATCAGAAAATGTTACATTTAATTTTGGATCAAATTTAATGAAGCACTGGTCTTTTGGAGAAGCACTGTATTTTCAGGCAATCTCGGAGAACTCAACAAAAGGCACATTTTATTGCAGGTGCTTTGCACAACCTTCATCGGGATTAAATTTGATGGAAAATGGGATATCTGAATATGGATTCATACCACTATACTTCTTAGGAAATTCTTGATCCCACAGTTCTGAAGCTCAGTTATCTTTAGATCTAATTTTTAAAATCAGTTATCTTTTCAGCAGGATGTATAAATAAATCAGCAGAAGAGCCAGTTAATGAGTCACTGTTGTAAATTAAATGGAATTTGTTATGAATACGATTCATTGAAACTTTCCTAACAAATCAATTTGTTTCAATCATGCTGTAATTCAATAATAATATTTAGCATTGACATGGTGCTTTCAATAGCTCATGAAGCATTCCGTGCATTAATTGACTGCATTTCACAGTACTGTGAGCTGCTGAGTTGGGCTGCTCCTCTTGCAGGTAAGAGTGCTGACATCCAAGGAGCTTAAGGCAACATTTCAGCCTCTCAGAAGCGTTAGCATTTCTCTCTTTTACCTTTTGTTGGTATCCACCCTCAGACACTGTCAGAGCTATGGAGCATCTGTGGCAGCAGGACAGTGCTGGAGAGGGTTTGGTCTCTCATGGTAGAACCAGTATTTAGAAGTCACAGCCTGCTTCAGAGTTAAGTATCCTCTGTCTGGAAGCTTTGCTCGCTCCTGTGAAGCCTTCCCAGCTGTGACCCTTCTTTCTGCTTTTCCCCAGTCACAGGCTCAGCTTCACTAATGCCACATCCTCGTGTCTGCACTTGAGACTTTCCCCTTCCTGCAACCATGGACAAGTCCTGCTCTGGCCCTGACTCAACCCTCCTTCCAGGATCTGTTGATCTGTTGCTTTGGCTCACATCCATCTAACTGCTGTGAACATCAACTCAAGCTGCTCAGAAAATGGATGCTACAGAAAACGGAGCACCACATACCATGTAGAAGCAGCCCAGAAGCAGGGTCACTGCTTAGCTTTCAGGTAGTTTGTGCTTAAAAAATCACACAATCACAGAATATCTTGAGTTGGAAGGGGCCCACAACAATCATCAAGTTCAACTTCTGGCTCCACACAGCACTACCCCAAATTCAAACTCTGCATCTGAGAACACTGTCCAACACCTGTTGAACTCCAGCCTCCTGATAGATCTCTCATGAGTATTTCAAAAACACAGAAATAGAATAAGTGCCTGATCACTTCCAAAGCTAGCAGGACATAGCCCAGTTCAGCAGTTTAAAAATCCCCCGAGGAAACATCAGGCTAAGTAAATTCTGCTTTAAATGACTTGACATAACTTTAGAGTGAGCTACCCTTCGGCGTGGAGGACATGAAGACACACTTTGCCTGACTTCTGTCTTTCATTTTCACTTGTGGGGTGGTCTCATGAGAGAAGGCAACTTGAGTGCTGATTGCTTACCTCTATTTAAAGCTGTGCATAGATTGAAAGAATCACTTAGATTAGAAGAGATCTTTAAAATCACCAAGTCCAACTATCATCTAACCCTGCCAGTTCCACCACTAAATCATGTCCCTAAGTGTCATGTCTACACATCTCTTAAATACATACCTCCAGGGATGGAGACTCCAGCACCTCCAAGGGCAGCCCGTTCCAATGCCTTGCCACCCTTTTTATGAAGGAGTTCTTCCAGATATATGACCTAAACTTCTCCTGGAACAATCTGAGGCTGCTTCCTACCATGTGGATTTCTATATCCTGTAGTACCATATGAAGAGAATCACATTAAGGTGGGTATATAGGCAACAGTAGGGGCTTGTCAGTCCCTACTAGCACTAGCACTATGCACTATTGTAAATCTAGGTCTGTGGTGCTCCATTTCTCCTATCCTGAATGTGCCTGATCCCATTTATTCTTGTAAATTAAGCAGGATGTGGTCCTTCACAAAACACGCTTTTATCTTTTGGAACTCAGGATGTTGAGGAGGCCAAAACCAAAATGATCTCAGCAAGCAATTAAAAAATTTGTGGAAGAAAGGGCCATAGGGGGCCATTAAACACAATGATGTTGATGTGGGCTGTAGCTGGAGGACAGCTCACACTAATAAGCAGGAGAAGCCCTCTTATAGATGCCCATTTGTTTATTACATTGTTTTTAGGTGTTAGTGACAGGATGCAGCGACAGACACACCTCAGGTCTGGCCCTGGAAAGCAATTCTTATTTTATATTCCCATAAGGATTTGGGTGGAATATCACCTATAACAGAGCTGTGATTCTAAGAAACATATCATCACAATGGCTGTGAAAGGTGGAGCAAAGAAAATGGTCAGTATCCAAATAAAAAACACAAATCATCACTCACCATGTTATTTGACAGCCAAAAAAAAAAAAAAAAGAAAAAATCAGTCGCATTTTTTATTGCCTGGTTTCATTTTTGTTTTAAGCATCTCCCTAGTCCTCTGCGAGTGCTACAATAGTTTGCAGTTGGCAAGGTTAGTGATTCTGCACATAGGGTGGGACAAACCTCTTCGTAGCACTGAGCCAAATACCCTACTCTCAGTGAGATGAGAAAGTGCTGAAGCAGAGAGCTTAGCTAATGTGCACCTTGTTGTGGCTGTCTCTCTGTGTCCTGGTGACCTTGTGCTCTACCTGGAACCAGGCTGTGCTTCCTGTAGTGACCCGTTGATGTGACTGCCCCTGCCTCAGACACAGCATCGCCTCCCCTCTGCCTGTGCTGCCTGCCAGCCTGCAATTCCCAAGACATCTCCTGTGAGCCCCAAGGCTGTTGTGTAGGCCTCCTTGTTCTGTATCTACCATTTTGAACTGCAGATACGCAGTGTGTCTAGCTGCTTTCTTCTTCTGCCTTCTTTCTTGCATCCTCTGCACTGAACTGATCATTGCTTAGAGAAGGAAAAAACTGTTTAATTCCCTGCTTACAACAGAACGCTGAACTGATGTCTGGTGCTCCCTGCTGTGGACCTCTTTGCTCTGGGCTTCTGGGCTTATTCTGGGCAAATAAGTCACCTTGATGCCAATATTTGTCCCTGTTTCCTGATGCAATGCATAAATCACACTGCTGTTCCTTATCTGCTCATAGCGCTTGCTTAATGGGTAGCTCTGCTGCTTCAGCAGGGAATTAGCTAGAACAACATTACTGTGATAAAGTAAGGGGAGTAAGCATCCATCACAGGGTCAATTAGTAATGCTAAAGAGGAAGCTCAGAAATAACTCAAACAGTAATACATTAGTTCTTACGCACAAGTTCAGAACTGCAGCTAGGTGACTACAAAATGAGGGGAAGAACAAATAATCGGGGGTGCGTTCTGTTTTAGATACGTGCCAAAACCTCCCTTTAGTAACGATATCTCTCATGGCCCTACTAGCTTTCATCTCTAAGCTTTTTAGATGTTATCAGCAGCCCCATTTAAAGAAACTGGGTTTGAAGCCAACCCTCTGTGCTTATCAATTGTGGGCAAAGTTTGGCATACCGACACCAACAGGAAACCTTTAATTTCAAACACTCACAGTCCAACACGTTTCCCACTCTCACTGCAGTGAAGCAACACTCTGTTTGCACCCTGTGCAGCAGTGAGAGGCTTCCCTAGCGCTGCTGGGGTTCCTCTGCAGGGCATGGAGGGGAGCCAGGGACAGCCCTGGTGTGCTGCAAACCACTGTGCATAAAGTGACCACAAAACAACAACAGCTCCTGTTTCATATGAGACCGGCTGGAGAGCTGTAAATCTGCCTAAATGGTGTTTTATAGGCACTGCTGAGAATTTCTCTTGTATGGAACCTTCATCATTTCATTACAGGGATTTCAAGTGGCAATATTATACTGAGTACACAGACAACAGCATGCAGTTGATGTCGTGATGCTGAAATGCAAAGAGTTGCCCAAGAACAGTAATGTCCCCTAGAAATGCAATACCCACCAACAGCTTTGCTGCAGGAACAGTGGAGAAGGTGAGGATATCAGTGGGAAGAGCATCTCATGAAGAGGGGGAGATTGGAAACATAGTTCAGGTTAGGATATACTTTCTGCGAGAGGGTGCTGAAATTTAACCCCTCCAAAATTTGGAACTTCTTAGCCTTGCTCCAGCACCAAAGCCATTGCAATTACCCCCTTGCTGACAGGCTGTCTTCTTTAATGCTGTTTATTAATGTTTTAAGTCAGAACCCTCTTCACTCTCAGACTCTTTAGGTATTTTAATTGTCTGAAATTTAATTGTTAATTCAGTAGATCACAAGAACAAAATCAGGAGTTTAATTTCCAAGCTACCTCACAATTATTATTCATTGCCCAAAAGCATCATTGACACAGCATCAAGAGTGACACGCCAATGCCTTGTAACCTCCCAAATTGTCAAATACACTGACATTTAAATGGCTGAACACCAGGAAATTGAGAGTTATGGTAAAATCAATGGGTGCTCTGGAAGTGAGCAAGATCCACCACTGCTGTAAAGTACTGGTGATTTCAATGATCATAACTGAATTACCCAGTGTATGCCAGCTGAGGAGCTGATGCCTGTTTTTCCATTGATGGGCATCTGTCTGTGACAAATAGAGTCCAAAGCACAGTAGTCTCTAAATGCCTGGAAACTTGAAAATCAAACAAATCCAGTTGTGGTTAGATTCTTGTGACAATTACACTGAGAGAGTGAAGTATACTGGAGTGCTTTGGGTTCAGGTCCTTGTCAGCAGTAGTAGAACCAAGCACAACAACTTGGAGTACTTCTATAAATAGCTTCAGTGGGAACCATGCAGCATCCGTGCTGAGGCATCAGCCTTGGAAATATTTATGAATTGTCAATACTGCTTCTAAAGATGCAAGACGCACAAAAAATTAAGTCAAGCATCATAAGTCACTTAGAAGAAAACAAATGGGAAACTAATCACAGAACATCTGGTCAGCAACTCTGCAAATACAGCAAGAGCCATATATCACTGCTGTTTGCAAGAGGAACATTAATAGACATTTATTGCTCAGGGGTTCAAACAAGCAGATTTGCCCAGCCATTCTGGGCACACAGGCAGCAGTTCTGCAGTGCTGTCTGCTCTGGTGAGTTACTGCAGCTGGGCTGAGAACAGCCAGGTCTATTCCAATGAGCTGCTCACTGTAGCAGGGCTGCCACAGGCATGGACTTCACAGGTTAGGCAGCTGCATGCTCCCAGTTCCAGCCCTGCTGATGCTCTGTGGCTAGATCCAAACAGGTCCTCTCAGGAATTCATTACCTCTCAATAAATTCCTGCTAATTCCTGGAT